TCATGTCTTTTTACAAGATTATGAAGCTGCGTTTCGATATTCATTGCCAGTACTTCAAAAAACCTATATCTTCACGTCACATGTGCTATAAATTGTCAGTACTGGCAGTAAATATCGGAACGCAGCCTAAGTCTCGAAAAGCGTTGTCATACGTAACAAGCGCGCAACGTGCGTTGCCTTGTGGTCGGCTTGGTGGAAAGGAGACAGAAAATAATATGCCTGCACTCTTCCACAGCCGAGCGTGACGTCACGCACACGTACGCGGTTCTCGCTTGTGTGCGTAGCATCGAGAGCTGAGCGGTGGGGGCTCTGCCCTTCGATGCTCTCGTTACTGTCCTGCACGATCTGGCATCTATGTACTCCACTTGCCCTGAAGACGCATCACGTGAATTGCGTCACAAACGAGGTGCTATCGAGTCACGTTAAACGTAGGTGCTATCGTATCGTGAAGGCGCTATCGGATTGCGTCGATGATAGGAGTTATCGAATTGATCAAATCGCTGGGAGAAAACGTCCGAAAATATATCGCGGTTATCCGAATTACTATCGTGCGACAAGTTGTGAGAAACACGAAATTCTTTCCGGGCGTACGATATCCGCTTTAAAGACTACGAAATTGTAAACAGCTGATTCGGCGAGCGAAGCCTAATCCGGTCGTTGACCCGGCCGGCCGAACTGCGTAAACCTCTGTCAATCGCGCCGTTCACGCGACTTCGGAATTTGTCTGGAAAACAAGTTTTCGCGCGACGTATACAAAACTCGCAATAAACGCAGCAAAATTCGGAGAATTCCGTCTGGCGTATCGAGACTCATTGTTGAGCTCGCATTCCATTCTCCAATAAACCGTTTTCTGCTCACCGACGGACTCGATCACTATATAATATTTTCTTTGTTTGTTATCCTGTTTCTTTATTATATACTGTGATCAAAAAGTAAGGTGAATTTGTTTATAAAATGTAAATTCTTTATTTATTCATCCAACTCAATTTCATCCCCTTTAAAGTAATCCCCCCCCAGATACAATGCACTTATGCCAACGCTTTTTCCAGTCCTCGAAACAGTCGGAATAGTCTTTTTTCGGTATAGCCTTTAAGACCTTCTTCGATTTGGTTTTTATCTCCTCAATCGTGTCAAAAAGGCGTTCCCGCATTGGCCTTTTGAGTTTGCTGAATAGCCAGAAGTCGCACGGAGCCAAATCAGGCAAATACGGTGGTTGCGGAACGATATGAGTAGAGTTTTTGGCAAAAAAGTCGCAAAGAACCAATGCAGTGTGAGCCGGTGCATTATCGTGATGAAGGACTTGACGCGTTTAAGACACAAAACATCCTTCAAAATGGTTTGGGCTGAGCCAAATGATATTCCAACACTATCAGCGAGGTCTCTGATTGTCAATCGACGATTTGCAAGCACCAAATCTTTGATTTTTTGGACGTGGCCCTTGTCGGTAGACGTTGATGATCGTCCAGAGCGTGGTTCGTCTTCAACGCGTTCTTGGCCCGCTTTGAACTCGTTGTACCACTTATAAACGTTTTTTTGTGCCATAGTTTGATCACCAAAGGCCTTCCGCAACATTTTCAACGTGTCCGCACAAGAATATTCGTTCCGCAAACAAAATTTGATGCAAGTTCTTTGCTCAACAAAATCACCCATTGTAAAAATCGAAAAGTGCACTTTTGATTGTTTACAAAAACACGTGTAACTCGGAGATAATTAAACCTTTTGACAAACAGACGCTTGGCAAATATTATAGACAGTCCTACCAACCTAGGAAAAAAAATTACCTGCCTTCCTAATGCCCGGGAGTTTTAAATGACAATTTCACCTTACTTTTTGATCTCAGTAGTATTTCAATCTTTAGGCTCAAAAATAAATCTGTTATTTTTTAAATTTACATTCGGCGTCTTTTATTTAGTCTTCCTGTGTTCCCTCCTTATCGCGATATAACACCCCGCACTTCTCCATTCGGATCAAAAAGAGCTAGTCGGACTGAATTCCGACGGGACGTCTCGATAATTGGTACGCGAATCGCGTGCCTGGTGCCCAAATTACATCATTAGGAAACCAGACTATCCCGAGAATATTTCCGGGCTGATCCGGACGGTGACAGTGGTCACGTCGGGGACGAGCTGTTTTTCTTATTGCAGCCTTTCCGCGGAAAAAGTGTTGCAATGTATATGTATAGTATATGCTGTTATATTAGCTTCTCCCATATGTTGCTACGGGTAACACCGTAAGCGCGCGAAGCGCGCCGGGCTGTCTTACACGCGTAAGACAGCCCGATGCATATTTATTCGTTGATCTTTGTTAATTAAAATCTCGGTAACTATTGCGAATCTAGCAAAATGGTGTAGGACTTCTCGGCTCAATTTTACTTCTTCTACCTGTCAACGAGAGATGTTACACCAATTCTGGGACACCCTGTATACATACATATATATATATATATATATATATATATATATATATATATATTGTGACGTTTTTTTCGCGGTGGTAACGTAATTCTCGCGCCGCTCCCCCGCAAACGGAGATTACTTCCCGGGACTTAGGTGAGCGTCCGCGAGAGGACAACGTCTAATCACTGGCAGGACAGAAAAGATGGCCTGGAACGAGCACCGCCGGGTCAAGTCGACGAATACTTGGTTATCGTTTTGCGCGCCAGACGCGGAGTCGCGTCAAAAATCAGCGTCACTCGGCACGACGGGCCGACTAGCTCTTTTGGGAACGGAGAGGGGCGGGGTTTAGTAAAAATTCGGAATACAGGCTGTCCCTTGACCTCGCGATAGGAAGCTCAAGTAAAGGAAAGAGAGTTAGAATTAATCAGCACGAGTTAAGAATTAATTGACAGTTTATTACGCGTGTAGAAAGGCAGAAATAATATAAAATAAAAGATATAAAGAATAGTAGAAAAGAAAAGATTGGTTACAAAATAATATAAAAGCAATAAGATAACAGAAGTGATAATAAAGAAAGAATATAGAAGAAATATGAGACAGAATAAGCTACGGCGGTATAATCGAAAATAATGCAAACAAAAAGAGATACGGCATCCACGACGAATTACGACAATTAACAATCCGTGTCACGCGAGTTAACGAGACAAATTAATGAATCGAAACGACACCGCAAAAATACTGGACGCGAAACGGTACTCGAGGATTCCAGCCGAAAGATAACAAGCGTAGGCACGAGAATATAGCAATCGCGGGGCGCAAAGCTAGATGCAGGCTAAACAACTAGAGAGTGCAAACAGATGTGCAGGGCAAACCATAAGCCGCAATAAAATAGCGTGCAGTCGCCTTTTTACAAGCCGTGGATCAACCCGGACTTACTTGTTTCGCTGAGGATCGCAATTTGGTCGACTGGCTCACTCTGCCACGCAGCTTTCGCCGGTTTCGTGTCGCTAGACCTAAAAGATTAAGTCGAGCCGATTTCTCAATCTACGCGCATGCACTCGAACGAAAATACTCGCGATACAGAGCGAAGGGGGTGCGACGTCGGAGGTGGCTTTTCCCTTTTTCTTATCACAAAACGATTGGCAACGCTCTTTATCTTGGCGCCAGGAAAATCGGCGATACGATACGTTACTCGACTGCGAATAATCCCGGACAACTTATACGCTCGAAAGGCGACACGCATTCACCGTACGCTCGCTAATTATTCGGCGATAATTGTCCTGAAAATTCACCATCCGAAACTGTCGTTAATCCGCACGTTAATTTGGCACAATATTCCTTACCGAGCACCACAGCTTCCGACTCGCACACACCCTACTCTAGCCGATCGCACGAGAAAAATCCAATTTCGTTCTGACGATTTCTCACCGCGGCGGCTGATTGCCGTCGGTAGACGAGATCCGACGGTACGCTAGCGATACGTTTCGATAATCACGGCACCCGCACACGAATACGCTCGCTAGACAAACAAAACAAAAAGAAATAGGAAAAGACGGACACAAATAACGCGAATAGGCTACTTGGCGCCGGATCGCCACTCCAGAGCTTGACTTCGATTCGCGAAATCACAACGAAACATGTACTTAACCTACGAGTTTACAACTACGGCCACGAAGCTCCGTGAAGCCCGATTCTGGCCGCAGTCGAAAAACAATCGTGAACACGGCCAAGGATACGTCCTTGCCGTCACAAACAAAACGCGAAAGGCAAGCAACCAGCCTCGACACGAGGCCTGTGCAACGCGGATTCGTGGCTAACAGAACTAAAACGGGCACCTCACCGTCGCGGGTTGTTTTCTGGCATGTCCCGGTCTTTTCCGTCCGGACTGACTCGTTCAGCTTTCCTGGACTCTGCCGGGGTCACCCTCTCGACAAGAATCACTTCGCCTCGAATCTTAACTCGCGGCACGGAAGATTCGCGTACGCACGGGAGCCCGAAAAGATGCGTGTGTCTCGCACAGCTGTTCGCGACCAAGAGCAAGAAGATAGGGATCCCAGTCAGAAATATATAGTTGATGAAACATCGAATTAACGTCGAAAATCAATGTTGAAGTAAAGTTGAAATTTTAATCGAATCGACGTCGAAATGGTATAAAATGTTGACGAATCTTTGACTATTTTTTAACATAATTTCAACGTCGAATCGACCAATTAAGTATATTCAATTATTGTAAATTTATAAATAATGTCAAAAGTATTGTACAAAAATATAAATATATTTATTGTTTTACAAGTAATAGTTATATATAATATTTTTTAAAGTAAAATATAATAGGTATATAATAGTGTATTAGCTATTTTTTTACATAAAAAAAATATATTAAAATACTTTTATGATTTTATATAACCTAATGAAATAAAAACATATATATAGCTAATAAAATAAAAAACATATTGCATTTCTTTTATAATCATAAACTGCAAAAACTGAACATCACGTAAGGAAAACTATTACGTAAACTATTCTTCATTACTTCATTACTCATTGCAATTAACAATATTGAAATATTTTAAAGTATTTTTTTATATAAGCTCTTCTTACAGTCTCTATCATATATTATTTTGTTCTTTTGCCCATTGTTCCATCATCTTGACGACGCCAAGGAGCTTGCTTCAGCCACGAGGAAGTTGCTGCAGCAATCTCAGGTAGTTCTGTCTGTGGCTGTTTGCTTAAAATGGCACCTAAAAATGCAGCACATTTTGTTTTTGTATAAGTTTTTTTACAGAAAGGTTTTGTATATATACATAACCATTAATCAATAATATAGCAAAATAATAATTTTAAATTTGATGATAAATATAAGTATAGCNATTAATAATATAATGTTAAGTTAATTTCAATTAATTGTTTACCTTCAACAACTTCGTATAATGTTAACTTTTCAAAACATTTTTTGGACGGATTGCCACCACCTTTCAAATTAAACTCGGATGCCAATGTATTCGAGATAAGTTTTTTTAATATTTTATATGTAGCTTCTTTGACATTATCTCGAGAGCCAATAATTTGATTCATATAACAAATCTATGAGCAGAATATCAACAATTAAAACATTCTTCAAAAAAGATTTAAGAGAAACATGAATATAATTATAACTTACGGTAGCTGTTATGTTATCACCTTTAGATAAAAATATTTCAAATTGTTCTAATTCTTCATTAGTTTTTAATGGAAGTGAAGGAAGATCTGTTGGTCTTACTATTCTCTTTTCATTTGGAAGAAGAAAACGATTTAATCTGCTTAAATTCATAATAACTATGTCTAGTTTACTACTAATTTCTTGGTTCTGAATATATGTTTTCTTTTGAAAATCTTTGACTTCAGATAAAGTCTGTGACAAATTATCTAGAAATAATGATAAACTAAATATTAAAACATAATATAATAAATAATTAGGAAATGATAAATTATAAATATTAAAACGTAATAATTAGAAAAAAATAAAAAAATTGTTGAAGTTAATTATAATTATACCTGATCGAGGTCTTGAGCAAGATAATTCTTTTATTTGATGGAAAGCATCAATAGACTCACTGAATTCAGATTGAGAATGTGTAGTAATCACTGATAGCGATTTTTCAATAGATTCATCATCACAAGAATCAAAAATATTTTCTTCTGACATACTTGCCGTACTCTCTAGATATCTCGTACATTTTTTGGGATGCGAAATATCATTATCTGATGACGCAACTAAAACCCTCTGATTTTCTTTAATTTTCTTTTTAGTTTCCACTTCCATTGAAGTTTTATGCTGTGGAATACTATAAATTTCATTTTTTTCTACATTACATCTCTTTGGAGGAGATATTCTAACTTCTGAGCTTACATTAGTTGGCCTATAATATTTCTGAGACATATCATGTTGAAGTGATGCAGAGGATATTTCAAGTTGTTTTGTATCACATGTTTGTTGTTTTTGTCTTGCAGCTTCTATAATTTCTTCTCTATTATCTTTAATAGCGGAAGTGCTTTTCAGCGCTTCACTTATCTTTGTAAGCATAATCTCTTTTCTAGATTTTTTATTTTGAAGAGACGTTACTATTGTGTTTTTTGTTGATTGAGGTTTCTCTACTATCTTAGTTTTTATATTTTTGTCATGCTTAGTGCTTTTTCGAGGCTCATTTTTATTATTCTGAGATTTATAAAAGACAACTGGTGGAGCAGCAACATTTGTTTTACTTGTAAATTGCAAAGTCCCAGGATCATCTGAATTAGAATCTGAATCAGAACTTTGAATAATGTTAACCGTTTTTCTAATCATTTGTGTATTAGGAGAGTCAAATGAAAAAGATTGTCGCTCAATTTTTTTTCGTTTACCACGACCAAATTCAATATCTGTTTCATAATTAGAAGACATAATAAAACCATTCAGTCCATTGCGTGCAGCCAAAAGTGTATCTAATAAGAAAAATGGAAGAAACAAATAAACTTTAAAATAAAATCAAGAAAAAATATAAAAATGTATATGCACCAAACAAACTAACGTACTATAAAATCTTAAAACAACAACATTATATTTTGGCCATAAAAGAGATGCATTCATTTCTTTTTTTAGTGCAACGCTTTGTATAGATCTAGGAGGCCAAGAAATGTTTGTTTTCATTTTATCATCTATATCTCCTAGCCATTTAGTAAGTCCGACTTCAAAAAGAGCATCGTCTTCATCATCACACATATCATCTTCATTTATAAATTTTACAACAACAAACTGAAAAAGTAATAAGTTTGAAATAAGTATCACATAAAAAAGATATAAAAAAATGCATAAAGGAATAATAATGTTCAATAAAAGATGTACTTACGATAAAAAAGAATTAAATTTCTTATTTGATATATTTGATATTTATAACATTGAAGAATATAAATAATAACAATATAAAAATCTGGCATTCTATTTACAAAAAGGCATTGTGTGAAGCAAGGGTATGCAAACATATTCATCCTCCAAAGGAATAAGCCAGCACTTAGCAGCAATACTTTTTAGAGGAAATATTAATCTATCATTGTTCAATTTAGATACTTTAACAATGCCAAGTTCTGACGAAGATAAAGGATATATGTAAAAATCTTTAACATTTATAAAACTATTACCAATAAAAATTACATTATTATTTTCTTGAAGAATAATATTTTTTAAGATTACAATTTGACCTTCAATTGTTTTAAAACATGAATCTCTGTTGTTTATTTCAAGAAGCACATCATTTATTAAAACATTTTTATATTGAGTGCCATCAATCATTAGTTCATTAACATCTTTATGTTTTTTTGAAANAACAATCTCGTTAACTTCAGAATCCATAAATACAATCTTTTCATTTCCTCGTTCTATTTCACGCTTAGCTGCCTGTTGAATAGGTTTAAAACCTGATCTAAGATTATTTTTAATTGTTTTTAATTTATTTTCATAACAAAAAGCACTGAATGATTCTAAAGGACCATAATCATTACATTCTTGTGCTAAATGACAAAGAGAATGAACATTATATACTACAAACATTTTTCCAAAAATTTTTGCAGAATGTGTAATAAAAGTTCTGAGCAAAATGTTTGCATAGTCATTCATAATTTTATGAAGAACAGGATGTGCAAGAATATAAATCCCACAGTGTAACAATAAGAAATGCTTATAAATATTTATATCAGGATGCTGAGCAAATATCACAATGCCATCGTATAAACATAAACGACGAAATTCCGTTGCCTTATAGAATGCTAAGTCATTTAGAGATCTTGGTTTTCGAACAAAATCTTGAGGACAAGAAGGAGCTATTTGGATTAGCATGGCAGATATGTTTTCTACAATAGTCCAATGCAATTTCCATGGGCCTATCCATCGCATCCACACTTCTAACAATCTTTTAAATACACCCTCATATACTAAATGCATAGACTCTAAACGAAATTGAGAAATCATTTGAGTATTTAGTCTGAGAAGAGGTGATATTCCTTTGTGATGATGAGACTGTGTTTGATTTTTAAAAGTTTTATCACTTCTTAAAGGAGCATCAAGATTAACATATGTTTGCCTATTAGCCGATCGTTCTCCCCATACTGTACATTTCTCACAAGAAGCATATGCATTATGACCTATACAACATTTTAAGAGCTCTCGAGCTGGAGCATCAAGAATATAATGTCTAATAAAAAAATTATAAATTCTCTGATTTCGTATATAACCATTGTCAATCAGATTTTTTGCTTCATTCACAAAATCTTGCAAGAATTCTTCAACGTCATTAGGATCAGACTTTCCAAAATAAATAGCAATAACAAATGGTTCATTTTTAGTTCCTACCAGATGTCCTAAAATTGGCCAAAATTTTTTTTTAGAACTTCGAAAAAGAGGAAGTCCATCAGTATTGATATCTATTTCAATCTTTTGTTTTACTTTTAAGTATTCTTCTAAAATAAATCTATCCAAATTATCTTTTATTCCTCTGTACCAAAATTGTCCTCCACTTTGAAAATTAATAATATTTATATTATCAGGTGTTCCCAGCAAAGTTTTATAACTTTTAGGTAGATTGGGAAACACTGGACGAAGCCAGGCAAGAAGTTCATCTATTTTACTCATAGAAAGAATTCCACTTGATAATGCCCATTCTTGTAAACTTAATATGATATATTTTTCTTTTTGTTCATCGTTGTGAAAAACTACATCAATATTGTCATTTTCGCTATCAGTATTTGTTTCCAAACTCATATTTGCACTCTCGTTAGAATCTATGTCTTCTTGATCACTGATCTCAAATTCAGTTTCAGAATTATTGTTCAATTTAATCAATTCATTCGACATATTATTTTCTCTCTCTTCAAACATTTCAACTTGATCTGACATTTCACAATTAATATCTATGGAAAAGTTATCAGTAGCACTACTGCTGCTACAATTGTTGAATCTATGTGTAAATTTTAATTTCCTTTTTTTTAGTAATGTAGAAACTTTCTTTAAAGCATAATTTCGCTGTTCTTCAATCTTCAATCGTTTTATAGCTCTTCTCTCAGTTTTTTTTTTCCAATTGCGTTTACATTGCAAAAACTACAAGAATTACAAATATATATGATATATAGAAAAATTATTAAATAAACTTCTTCTATATAAACCTCTTTTATATAAAATAACAGAACAGTAATACATTTTTATTACTGTATAAATATAAAAATGTAAATATTAAAATAGCTATTTAAATTGACTAAAAAAACTTGTTATATAAAACTAAAAATAATATAATGTGTAAATTATGTGATATATACATTGTATGATTGTTAAATAATAATTGATGACGCTCAAAAATATAAAAATTAAATATACACATACACACGTACATGCAAAACCATATAACATANTAAATATAAAAATAATTATACGTACCTTGTTATTATCGATGTCCATTGTATATTTATTTAAACCTTTATTTTGGTTTTTTAGTTACTATTTTTATGACTATGTTTTTATCAATTAGAATTATTTTTTTCAGCAAGTGTTAATTCCTGCGTACAATAGAAAAAAAATATGTAAAAATAAATATTACTTAAAATATTATCTATTTTTTTAATTGATACTAATTTATTCAGTAACAGCGAAAACAGTTAGTTACTATGTTCGAAACTAAACCAATTGTATAAATTAAATATCTATTTTTTGTATACAATTTGTTTAATTTTACTAAGCAACTCTTTTTAAATATTTAATTTTTATTTTATATATATATTAAACCTACTCTTATAATTTAATATAGTTTATAACCTAACCTAGGTTATAAACTAGGCTGAGAGATGAGTATTATATGCAAAATTGCGTCACTATATATATTATTTAGTATCAAATAATGTAATAATTAACAGAACAAAAGTTTGTTATTAATTGAAGTTATATCAATATCTCAATTAAATTCATTAATTGATATGCGCACATTTAATACGTGAGCAAAGCCGGCATTGGTGAACGTATATTGGACAAATATTTTATATTTATTAATTAAAGTTTTGCAATTTATTACTTTTACTCGATAATTTACATGCATTAACTCGAATAGAATCTATGAATTGCGATGTAAAAAGATTGTTTATATTCTACTTACTGTCGTGTTGTCGAAAAAACAGTTTACTCGTGTACGTAAGATTTGTACATGTACATGTACGCTTACATACTATAAGTGTCAAGACTTGCAAATCACTTATTTCACATTAATTACCTAGCACAACACACGATTATATTTACATTACTTTCTTTTTGCTGTTTGACTATGACCTGTGATGACCGAGCCATACCGGTCCGTGCTGGTTACCGGATGACATTGATTCGCGCATGCGCNAAAAAAGCTTAAGCCCGCACAAGAGGAAAAACATTAGTCGATATTATACAAAAATCAACCTTCAATTCGACTCAACCGACTCTCAACAGCTCAGACGTCAATTCAACATTAAATCAATGTTACATTTCTGACTGGGATGGGCAATATTTTACGATTAATCGAAATGAACGATAGTTTTCTTTTTAATAATCGATTAATTGGTTTGATGTTTTCCTTATCATTACATCGATGCATCGATTTTTTATGTCAGATATCGGTGTTTATTTAATTATTTCCGTCGCAAATTGTAAATATCTTATCAAAAATACTCAGAAATAAGGCTGGATTCTCATGCAGACACTGGCGCTTTGACACTGAGCGTT